ACATAACAATCAACATACAACCTTTAGGATGTTACCTTTGGTCTTGGGAGCATCGGGTTGAAATTTACAGAAATTAAATATCTAATAATATTAGTTCATGTAATCATTTGACAAGGATTTATTAAGAGCTTACTGTATGCCAAATTCTAAGGATAGAGCAGTGAACAAGACAGACAAAATCCCTGCTCTCTTGAAGTCTGCATCCTAGTACAAGTGTTGGCCAGCTTTTTCTACAAAGGGCCAGAGAGTAGATAGATTGGTGGGTCATATGTTTTCTGGTATAACTACTCAACTCTGCCTTTTTATTGGGAAAGCAGCCATACACAACACATAAATGAATGAGTAAGCTGTGTTCAATAAAAACTTTATTTACAAAAAGAGATTGCAATTCAAATTTGACCTGTGGGTCATAGTTCACGGAGACCTCTCTGAATGGGTCATCAAACACTTTTTCCAGACCTTGTGAGAAAGTTAATTACCGTGGTATTTTCTTTGGATGACCCATTAACAAATTTATTTTACTGCCATTTTAACTACGCCAAGGTTAAATATTTATTCAGCTCTTCTCTCTTCAAGTTAAAGAGATCCAGTGGCTCAACTTTGAGAGCTGCCCTTTCAAATCTATTTCGGTCTAGAGATTGATGCTCATTGATTAAACTGTTCCTGAACTGGCTTAAGATTGTAATTGTCCAATTGAAGTCCAAATAACAGGTGTGATAGTTCATGACCTCTGAGAAGCAGATGATAAAATGAGATTAGATATGCAAGACATTTATTAGGGGAAATACCTAATTTAAGGGAAAATTGGGAAGAAGACAGAGTGGTCTAGGAGTACCTTCTGGCTAGGATGCAGGTCTAATCACAGTAAAGAAGAAAGGGAAGGAAAGGAGATTGAGTGAAAGTCTTAGCCTCCAGGGAAGTTGTGAGAAAGTTAGCAAGGCTAAAGGAGAGCCCTTAGCCAAAGTCATGTGTCAGTGGATTCTAACAGTTTCCAGGAGCAGGAATGACTAAGTATCACTACCACAATGTGTCACTGGCTACAAGTGGCCACTGGGAATTGTGCCCTCTGCACTACACAGTGATTTCAAAGCATAGCAGCTGGAGCCACTGCTCAATGAAACACCCACAGTAGGAGATTGGAAGGATGCATTTCTTATGGATATATGAAAAGGCTCCACAGCTAATTAACTTGATGGAAAGTTAAGATAGAAATGGTTTAAACAAGTTTTGCCACATTAATTCAATTAAGCTCGCTGAGGATAAGGATTGCTTTACTTATGGCTGTATTCTATACTGTACCTATTAAAATCTCTTGCAGCAAGGAGATACCCAAAACTTGCATTTTAAGATTTGGTTAAATTCCATTCCTAACACAATGGTTTCTATAAAAATAATTGGAAATTGGGGGAAACTCAGCCCAAGTGTCTAAGGAACTACCCCATAGTTACACAGCCAGCAAGTGGTAAGGACAACGAGATTCTAGGATTACACAAGACGACTTCCAGGTACATGGTAACATGATGACAGTTGATGGTACCATCGGCACAACAGCAACAGCAGCAGCAACTTTATCATTTATAGAAAACATTCAGGCGTTACTATTAGGTTCACATTACTTTTGTTCTATCTAATTTCCATCTTACCTTCTGCCTGGACCCTTTTAGTGTCTACAGCCCTAAATAGAGAAAGGAATCCTGAGAAAGGCAGGAGGATAAAAAGAGCCAGTATAGAAAGCATGTAGACTCTGATGTCAGACTTCCGGGGGTCAAATCTTTGCTCTAACATTTACTATTAGTTGTCACCAAGGACAAGTTGTTTCTCCTCTCTAGATTTCAGTTTTCACATCTTTAAATGAGGGATGATGATAGTACCTACCCTCTAAGAGTTTTATTAAGTTATTAAATAATTAACATTTGTAAAATTGCTTAGAACAGAGCTGAACACTAATTATTAGAGATGGATTTTAATGTAGTTTGTCTACTAGTGCACCTCTAATCAAAACTGGCCTGTGGTAGAAGCCAGAAATGGACTTACAGGAAGGAAGGGACATGAATAATGTTTGTAACTAACCCCTTTATAGTGCACACTCAGAAAGAGGAACTGGAAGTAAAGAACATTTTTGCACCAACTGATAACAGAGTGAGAAAAACACCGCAAGTGAGACTAAGGAGGAAGGTATGGGCATGGTGCTGGCGCCTGACTCTCAGTGCCTTGTCTAGCAGGGTTATTTAGATGTGCTCATTATCTGTTTCTTTTCTGATTATGATCGTTATTGAACACACAAGTATTTTTAAATGGCATTGCAGTAAAACAATGTTTCTGCCACCTTTTGTTAAATTCAAGTCTAGAAGGTCTAGAGAGACGACCAGAAAGAAATAAGTTACTTATCTTTATAACATCATCATGTAAAAGTTAGCACATGGAAATGTATTGCAAATCCATTGTTCTAAGTTCCTAAAATAACTGAGAACCTGAATTCAGTTTAGGAAAAGCAACACATACCTGTGTGAAACAAAGTAGGAGTAATATGGGAGCAAAAACCTACGGGCAGGCTTTCATAGCACAAAAGGATCTACTGGTCTTTCTTTACAAAAATACTTAATATACAAGAATAGAGTGCATTTAGATTAAGGGATAATTTAAAATTCATTTTGTCCCTTGTTCCTGCATCTGTACTTGAGTGAACTAGAGTGGTTATGTCTAAGTAAAACGTGTTCTCTTGCAAAGGTTCAACTAAACATCACGTGTATATACATTCACATGAAAATGTTTTGGAGCAACACAGATTAACAGACAGCATAGACAGTTGGAAGACATTAAAATAAAGATGAAAAGAACACCCAGGTTTTACTTCTTAAGGGAGGACATAGCTGGTCTGAGCCACTGTCTTCCTTCTCTACCTCCCTCTCATTGCCAGTTCAGTTAGATCTGTGATTTTTTTAGATATTTTCTAGGTTTTAGCTATCTTAAAATTCTTCTTGGTGCATCCAATAAACCTTCTTTGGCCTTTAAGGAGTATTTAGTTTTAGCTGTTCCCCATTGAGAGAAGGGTTTTTTTTTTTTTCCTATGAATTTTCTCTACCATTTTCCATAAAGTACATATTTCTTAACCTTACAGATGTAGAACAAGTTGCTATCTCTTACCAAAAAAAAAAAAAAAAAAAAAAAGGATTTGGGGGGTAGAAAAAAACAAAGTCCTGCCAGGTAGGTCATTAAAACTTGTAACATAAATACATAAAAATTTCAAATGTTCACTCAGGTATGGTAGTATTAATTGTCTATGTAGAAGATGGTGAGTATTCTGTTCTTACAAAAACAAGAGAAAATACACTCATATTATTTATACTACCAGAAGTCAATATGTGCAGAAGACCAAGCTTGCCTGGTATGATGATAAATGATCAAGTAAAGTTTCAAACTTTTTAGTTATAATACGTAGTCTTCCCTTCCCCATCGCCTGTGGTTATTGATGATGGTGTGTAGCAAAAAATATTTGCCAAAGCCATGTGATTTACTGCTCCATTGTAATCCTCATTTAAGTTCTTATTTATTTTAATGATTAGCATTGCTAATCAAGAGGGATAGAAAAGGAAAGAAATGAGAATGCCTCCATTTGAATGCCAGATTCAATTGACTAGCTGTATCAATATGGGAAAACTGCTCAAACTTTTCTGACCTCTGTCTGCTTTAAATGGTTTTCATAAAAATCATTTGTATCTGGGAAAGTTGTCTGTGTAATATATAATTCTCTGTCCATATAAATGGTCATTGTTCTTTATCTTTAAATATCATTATATGATCTATGATGCCATTAACAGAAATAAAATAAAGCAGAAATAAAGTTGCATCTTGTTTTTGAATTTATATTGCTAAAATATTTAAACAAGGAGGCCCTTAAACTGAGATGGCTCTAATGCCTTGGTAACCTATAGAAGTAAATCAAAGCCTCAGCCAGAGTCAGTGCACTTCAATCCCAGAAAATGAAAGTTAGGAACAATCAATTACAGCCAACAAGGCTCCCCCAAATAAGGCAACTGCTGAGGCTATAGTCAATCAAATAATTTCCTTGCTTTGCTTCTGCATCTCCTCTGTTCAAACCTTTCCCTTAGATCACACAGTAGACTATTCCTAACCACGTTCAGCTAAGCACTGCTCAACTTGAGTTGATGCGTGCCCAAATAAATTCTTGAAAATTTCGATAAGCCTCAGTTTATTTTTTAAAATATATTTCAGCTTTGTTTCCAGAAATCAATTACCTTGAGATAGACTCATCCTCTGGGATTCAGAATGGTAAATGGGATAACCATTTCCGTGGTGAAAAGGAGACCAAGAGATCATCTTCAAATCACCAAAAATATTTTCACTCAACTGTAATAGTGGGTTTGTGACTGATGATGAATGGGCATTTTACTGATTTGTACTGAAAGATTATGACTGTACATAAAAAAAAAAAGTATGTCATTGTCCATGGTAGGATGATACAGATATTATGTGAAGAGTTGTAATTGACTTCTCATTATAAAATCATGCTAAATAAAAAAATCTACACATTGCTGATGAGCTCACTTGGTTTTCCTGCCTGTCCACTGACTGCACCAAACCTCTGCCAGTGCCCTAGTGGCTGGTGCATTACCAGAGACAAAGCAGGGCAGGTCAGAAATGCACATCAAAGGCACCAATTTGACCCAAATGACTATTCTGTTTGACACATATCATATCACAGTTGGTAGCTGCAGTGTTTATTTGAATTTCAATGCTGATTAAGCCCTTTGCCAGTCCTGTTTTTGCAAACACATGCAAAGCTAAATACACCAACCCTTGTTACATCAAAAGAAACATGCATAGCGCGTCAGGCAGTCACTGTTGTTATTACCAATAAACAAAAATGTATATGTTTCCCCAATCTCGGTGGTGAAATGTGCTCTGTGTTTACGGAGTAAGCTAAAGGGGAAAAAAATTTTCTTAGTGAAGAGTTTGTCGACTCTGGCCCAGGGGTGTACCTGGGTCTCAACATCTGTCAGCTTTCTGGTCTGTTCTGCGGTTTGAGAGAGGAGGCTGGTTCCTATCTCGAGCATGGTGGCCGTGTGGTTCTGAACAGCATTCTGCTGTATCTGGGCCATCTCCGACTTCATATTTTCCACAATGTAGTTCTCAATCTGCAGGAGATAAAGGACAAAACATACTACATCATAAGCAAAGTCTCTCGGAGCATGGAATATTTACAACGACAAAACAAGACACAGCTGGCAAATCAGCCATCTGGCAGGGATCTTCTGAATTTCTGGGAGCTGGGGAAATGGGAGCAGAGCACACAGGAACCCAGTTGCTAGCAAACTCCTAATATACCAATACATATGTATAATCATCACAATCGTAACAAGTATTTGTACTTGGGTAGTGCTTCCTTATTTTCTACAACTCCTTCAACCCTCACAGCGAAGACGTGAGTTAGGCACTGATGGCCTCATTGTTTTTTGTGGGTTTTTTGTTTGTTTGTTTTTATTTGTAGCTGAGGAAACAGAATCAGACAAAGGTCAATAATGAGCCCACAGTCACCCAGCAAGAATGCAGCAGTGTTCGTATGATCATTTAAATCTATATCTTGGTTCTCTGGTCTTTTCATTATACCATATTGCCCACTAATCTCTGAGAAAAATTCAGCCTCTTGCTTTCATTTCTGTAATGAAAAGTAAAAGATCATGCTGGGTTAGAGAATTACACAAGGGGTGGGAGGAAGACAGATGCCCAAAACACAAGCTTTTAAGGGAATAGTAAAGTTCAGACAACACTATATGGAATAAGCTGCAGAGGCAGCGAAAACCATTCTCAGTGCTCCTTTAATTTATTTAAAAAAATAAAATAAAATAAAAAGGCAATGAATGTATAACCCATAAAGCAGCATTTACCCTCCCTGCCTTGGGTAACATTTCATCCTCTATGGTGCCATCTTGGAGAATACTATGGTTGTAAAATAAATTGTACCATGGGGGTCAGGAAGAATTATTAAGTGACTTACTGGAAGGGAGGGTGCTAGGCACTGCAGAGAATAAAGCTGAGCATAAGCACTGTTTGAAAAATACAGAAGAAGCCCACACTTCCCTGTCGGTGCACTTAATTCTCCCCCACCACCCTGTGGTGACTACATTTTATTACACAATTACACATATGGGGAAACTGCATCCCAGAGAAGTCAGGTCCAAGACCACACACCACAAAAACAGCCAGACTTGGATTTGGGTACTAAAGTCCTTAACTTTCATACCAACACTCTCAACCACTTGATAGCTCTGCCAAGTTGTGCTCCACAAACCGGGTTCCAAATCATTAACAGCTACGTGATTTTTACTGATTTAGTGGACCATAATACATCCACTATTTTATAATCCATAGTATCATTATTGTCATGTAATAAATACAGTCTAAAGCTAAATTCCCCTTTGTGAAACCTTGGCAGCTTACTTTCTAACACCGTCATCTCTTGCTTATTTCTATTTATCAAACATAAATCTGCCCCATGTGAAAGAAAATGAAAGGTTAGAATCAAACTCATATTGTTATTAATAAATTCTGACTATGTCCTTGGTAATATCAAGTAACTCCCCTTCATTCTTTATTTTGAAATTAAAAGTAGAGGGGGAAAAAATCAACCTACAAACATCTGTTATAAAACAAATACAACACAGGTTAGAATAAATACCTAGAAATTATCTTGACAAAACATTTAAAAAACAATAGAAAGGTAATGGAAAGGAAGGTAGGTCAGAGCATCAGACATCTGTTGTTTTGGATTTTGCATCATATTTCCCTTCTCTCATAACATCCTTTGACTTTTGAGGGAGGATTTATAAGTGGGTATATTCTTAAAAGTGGGAGGAGAATCTCCATCATGGAGGTGATACCCAGTGTATACAACTGACACTCATTAATTGTCTGTGTGACACTCATTAATTGGCACTGAACTAAGTGCTTTCTTTTTATAACAGTACTTAACCTTTACAAGTTTATGTGGTGGGTATTGCTATAGCTGCTTTATAAGTGAGACTATTGAGGCCTAGAAAATCCACAGCAATTTGCCCTAGAGAAACAGTAAGTACCCCCAACGCCAAAACCCACATTCTCAATCTCTAACCTTTTCAATTTAACACTATTTAATTACTCTGTGATTTTACTATGTAGAGCCTCAAAACCACATGAGAAGCATTTTAAAAATGCAGATGAATGTGCAACACACTGGAACTCTGAATCGGAATTTTCAAGGGTATATACTGGACAACTTTATTTTTTTTTTTTTAATTTTTTTATTTATTTATTTGACAGACAGAGATCACAAGTAGGCAGAGAAGCAGGCAGAGAGAGAGAGAGGAGGAAGCAGGCTCCCTGCAGAGCAGAGAGCCCGATGTGGGGCTCGATCCCAGGACACTGGGATCATGACCTGAGCCGAAGGCAGAGGCTTTAACCCACTGAGCCACCCAGGCGCCCAAGGACAACTTTATTTTTAAAAGCTTCCCAATACAATTCTGATTTAGGCAAAGACCAGTGCTTCTCAAAGTGTGGTCCACAGAATAATTGTCTATATGAGACTGTTTGTCAACAGTCTGTCAAGAAATGAAGAAACTGTAGTAGAATGCAAATTACCTTTGTCACTAAGCACTACTACAAATATAGTGTATGTGTGTGTGTGTGTGTGTGTGTGTGTGTGTAGTAGCAAGACTCTGTCAATGAAGAAAGTGATGCTCTAATGCTTTAATTTACATTCTGGAGAAAACTTCTTACCTTGTTTGCAAAATGACAACAATTTCATTGAGTAGCATTGATTTAGACCACCAAATTTATTCAATGTCACATTCACTGCTTACCAAGAAAGTTCAAATAACAACCTGGTTTCCCATGTAGATTTGTCTAGTGAGAGAGAATTCACCAATCAGTGAGCTCCAATACAGATCTGCTTGATATTTATACGTCATTTTTTTAATAGTAGGCTCTAGGCCCAATGTGGGGCTTGAACTCATAACCCAAAAATCAAAAGATGCATGCTTGACCAGCTGAACCAGCCAGGCACCCCTATACATCAATTTCTTATGCAGTTGGTTACTGGGAGATATTTCCCAGAGCTTAACTTGCTCTGGGTATAATATAATCATTTCAGTCTCCATAAAGGAAGATACCTTCTGGCATAGAGCTAGTACATCAAGGCTCAGCTGCTTTGTGATCCTATCTTTGTCCACTCCTATCTATTTATTCTGTATTATTATGGCTTTTCTTAACTGTAAAAGTTAACACCAGCAAAGCAACATAACTGCTTTACATAGGCATTCATCACAAAGATCCTCCCAATTCTGCTAACTCTGCTGTAGAAATATAGTAGGTCTCCAACCTATACTAAAATTCTTATTTGGGCTGCCATGATTAGTAACATTTATATAACTCTAGTTAATTATTTTTTAATCAAGTGGGGCTGCTCTCTCTAGGAGTAACTGCCTTTTAATGCAAAAGATAATGGCACAGTTAAGGAGCAAAAACCAGATGTAGTTGATTTAAAGACTGAGGAGGGAGGCAGAAGTCAATATACAATGTGTGATTAATAAGGAGGGCTACTTTCATCTTATCTCTAAACATTCCTCTGTAGATGTAGAACTGTGAAATACATCTTGATGTGTCCTATCAGCCAGGTTCAGGAAAAATTTGTAACAAATTCAATTGTCCTCATATAGTCCCTACTGGTTTTAAAAATATGTTTGCAAAATATGATGGCTACTTCAAGTTTTAATATTTTAGAAACATCTAAGATGCAGACCTGAGAGATTATAAAGCAGGAGACTCTCAACTGGAAGCATCAAATAATTCGATGGTTCTTCTACTCTCGGTGTCTGACTCTAGATAAAGTACTGGCCAAAAGACCAGCAAGAGAAGGTAGGATGCCACTTGAAATGAGATAATGAACAATTAATGATGTTTAAAGCAAAGAAATAATGTTAAATTTGTAAAGTAATTCAGTGTTTCAAAAAGCTTTCATACACATTGACTGGATTCATACACCAACCCTACATGGGGAGTATTGGATCTATTTTCTGATTTAAGAGATGATGCTCAGAGGACTCAGGTGACTTAATAGAGATGAAAGAAAGGACTCAGCTCTACCTTCTGCTGTTCCTTCTACTAGCTTCAGATTTAGGAGAACTTCTCTGTTACTGGACTGGTTGGTTGATTGATTAATAAATGAGTGATTTCCTTTTTAGCCAGTTCACTGAGAACTAATTTATGCACTGCTTCGAGAAAAACATGCCTCATTAGAGAGTGATTACTTTATTCTGCTTCACCATACTGGATGCCAAGTTAATTTGAAGGGAGGTAAGAGGATCTAGGGCCAGTTATGTGGAAAGTTCACTTTGCTAGCACTTTTAATGCAGTGGGTCATTAAAAATTCTTTCACCAATTCCTACCTTTTTTGCTTAGTATGAGATTTATAACATATTTGTTTTCTTCTACCCATTCTATTTCTTGCAAGCTATTCTAAAATAATAACAAGAGAGTAACAACAAGAGCACACTAAGCCTCTACTAAGGTTAAGTATCTTCTTTTTAACAGTCTAGGCACTGTACTGCTTCCTCATTTTGCTGATAAGGAAACGGGAAGTTAATGTAAATTGTCTACCATCACACATGAGTGGGTGAAAGAGCTGGTATGTTGGTTTGAAAGAGGTTAGGTGGCCCTGCAGTTTGTGCTCCATTCTACAGACAGTCATGAAGCACAAGCACACTATCGCTAATGTCATAGACAAATACTGGTAACACATAATATTCATGCAGGAAATACATAAAGTGAAGGCTACAGAAAAGATGAGGAGAAACTTGTTTAAAGATAGATAATTTTTCATTTTTTTAAATTTAATCATTTTCATACAGATTGATGACTATAAGGTACTGGGAAATGTTACATGTAAGAAAGCACATATACAGTCAACTGCGTGACAAGTTGCATTATTAAGTAGAGAAAAAATATTTTTAAGAAGTCAAGATTATCAGTCATTTGCAGTTCACTCACAAATCATTTGCCCATGTCTTTTGCCAATGAGTAGTAGGACTTTCCAAGATGAGACAACAGTTTTGAGAGAGCTTTCTTACCGGGTCTTCAAGATTCTTGCTGCTTCGGGTTCATG